TTGGAAAAAAATTGCTAGGAGCCTAAAATCAGCTGCAGAAGGATGGCTACAATTTTTATCGAGATGTCCTTTGAAATTACGAAAATTCAATCTCAACTTCACCATTGTCTTCCTCGTGTCATCACTCCAATCCAAACTCTGAATGCTCAGAGATAGGCACATTTACTTATATAAGAATAAATAAGATTTCGCAACTATCCGTAGATGCTGCATAAGAGATCGTAGTTGAATGTCTCCACATTCATCTGAGTAGGCCTCACGATGTGACTAAATTCTAATTTAAGAATAATTAAAGGTACCGAAAACTACTCATATCGTTTGTAGATATGAATAAAAGCTGGTAACCGTATATCGATGAATCTCCTAAGAGAGCATTTTGGGGAGACTTTCATTTCGTATAAAAGGGCATAGTGATATTATGGATGAAAGCCAAACTCACTTTTATCCGAAACGAGAGAGGATGCCTCATCGACTGTGTCAAATGAAATGAAAAGCGCCCCAGCAATAAAAGATGTTCCTCAAATAATGCTTTGATCACTTGCTTCGCATAAAAATTTGGATGGAAGTACTTCTCACATTGGCCTCATCGAAAACGAAAGAACGGACGGCTTGCAGTTGAGACTAGCAGTGCTCTAATACGACTCATTCTAGGCCTCGATATCAAACGCCCATCGCGGTCGACGCAACAAGGAAGTTCAGAAGACACCTGGAACCTTCATCAATGCCGACAAACTCTTTCCCTCAAGGTCACTAGATCATTGGCCAAGCAATTTGCAGAAGGGCCGAGAGAGTCTATAGCAAAGACCCCAAGACTTCACAGAACCCTCGTCTTCTGCTCTCTTGCCTGGCTCGAGGAGATGCTTACCCTCGTTGCCAAGTGTTTCATGCCAATTGGCGGCAGATGACGTGAGGAGGCCGGTCCCCACAGAGCGGGTCTCTATTGCGTGCCAGCAGACCCGATGTTTGAGGAGAATGCACTTTCCAGGACGCGGCTGCTTGGGGTGGTTGCCGTGTCAAGACGGCCCTTTGAACTGCGACCCTTGCCTCTGGAAGGGGTAGGAATCATGGGCTAAGAGACCGGCACAAGAGGTCATTTGGCCCGTGACTTAAAGGGCTCCAATCTACCATGGCAATGCGAGGTCGGCCGGTCCGGTTGTGACATTTTGTCCAGTCATTTACCAACTGTGGGCAGACGATTTCCCAATTAAACAAGCGCATCTGCAGGCAGGACTGCCAGTATTGATGGGTTTGCAGGGCAAAATAACCGGCCGGCCTCGTAACCTCGTAACTTGGACAAATGCGGGTGTTTATATAACGTCTTGACGGAGTTAACCTTGTCATTCCGGGACGTTATGTTGCGCGTAAGAGGCAACCAAATTGTGCTGGCGCAAAGCATCAGGTCAAGAACACTGTCTGCCTCCCATGACAGTTGGGGAGAGTTGGAAAAACTCAAGGGCTACGACCGGACAAGTGCTCAGAAGGCAAACTTTGGAACTGGACGATGTTGAATCGTAGCTTTGGAGCGAGTACACATTCAATCGAATTGTAAACAACCAACTTTTCTCAAAGATAGCTCAATCTATTCAAGAAGTGCTGAATTTCGTCGAAGCCTACACACACTGCAAAAAAGTAACGTCGTTGATTACACCGATAAACAGGTTTTTTCGAAGGTATGAAGACCAAGATGGTGAGGCCTTTTGTATGGTCGCAGTCTCCTTTCGTTGTATAGAAGTTATTTGACCATGTTTTCGCAACTTGTTCCTATTGGTAGGAAGACTTAGATGAACGCACCTAATCCGGAGTCCATTGTATGCATGATAATTTCTAAAGTCAGAGCATGAACGTGAGCAGAAGGAGAGATACCACAACAGTTTAGCACACGGTTTGTCAAAGGATCGGCTTCATTTGTCTCTTTGACGAGTTGTAGTGTCGGGTGTAAGAATGGCAAGGCTCACTAATGCTGCGGGCGAAACGTCTGGGAATGTACCACGTCCACGGCCCGACTTTGGAAATGATAATGCATACAATGGACTCCGGACAAGGTAAGTTCCTCTAATTCTTCCTACAAACATGACTAAGTTGCGAAAACAAAGTCAAATAACTTCAACAAATGGGTGCTTCATTGACAATCTCTTATTTTCGATTTTATTGTATTTTCTCCTACGTTCTTTCAGTTGATACAGCGTCCTAGCTCGGCAGTGTCTTCTGCTCTTCCTCTTCTCTCCACAGCCATTTTCTATAGACCCTTTGGTGTTCTTTAATCTGTATGCTAATTTTTCGTCCAGCTTTGTAAAATATATATTTGCTCACAGTCACCTCATGCTATGCAATTAACTATCCAGTAATCCATAATGTCCACCTACTCATGTCGAGGGTAGGCTTGTGAAGATTGATGCCTTTTCTTTCGGTATCAACTAAATGTTCGTTTTTATTAATATTTGTAATTAAATGGATATTGACAGTGATAATAAACTGAAATAGGGCAAAATATCTCTTCACCCTAAAAGTGAACTAGTTTAAAAATGGTACTCTACTCTGAAAAGGGCTATCGTTATAGACAAAAGCTTGACACAGCCACCAGAATCGAAGGAGTATAAGAACTTAATCACCTTTAAAGTGATAGTTAAGTTTTCCAACAAACAATAAGCCTTTCTTTACCTTCCAAAAGTGCATTTTATCCAGGATGAACTGCGCCTTCGACCTCGTCTAGATCTCAAAACGTTTAGCTGGATTCAAAACCGGATCGTGAGTAATGTGGTGACATGTCACCACCCCAACATACGGACACGAGTGCTAGTGGATCACAGGGCAAATGCAACAGTCAAGGCAAAGCATCCCTTCCACATCTCACATTTTGTCTAGGGGGAGCGTAGATTAACCAAACATGTGCGTAACATAATAATTGACGACATTACTTAATTTCCAAATGAATAGATTTGGAGACTATCGCAAATTCCTTAATAAGAGCTAAATCACCTTTGGCCGCTTAAGCCTGATAGCTGAGTTTATTTTTAATATTTTTCTAACAATGGCAGTTTCAACCAGTATGTAACTAAGTGAAGCAATAGCTGGCCAAGAGGGATTTGCCGTCGTCAGGTAAGTCGTGATTCGCTAAAAACGTGAGTTTCAGCGATAAGGTCGCTGAGGACAAAATGAGTATACTCTGTCCGGAAAGGGAATTCTGGCATCATTTTGGAACTTAAGAAAACCGAACTTGTCCGTGCCTGTTACATCAATTGGCTCGAATTAAAAACAATGCCTCCCTTAAAGTTAACTAATCAAATTCACATAAATCATTTTCATCGCATTTTTGAGGCTACGACATCGGACAAACTGTGACATATTTTGCTGCATTTACTGAGGTTGGGCACAACAAATAGTAGCTAAACCTGCATTGCGAAGTTTTCAAAACCTTCATTTGGAGCGAATTCGTTTGGATTCATGTGAGGCGCGAAGCTCGAACACATGATTCTATTGGGATAAAGGCTTTTATCCATAACATTGGTTCAATTGGTCTGCCACGTTAAGGTCATGAATCGGGAATTCACTTTTTCAAGGCAAGATATTGCCTTGAGTCTGAATGTGACCCAATCGTGTAGATAATTGGGACAGAAGAGTCAAAAGTGGTAAAAGTGGTAAGGGTAGTAGTTATTGCTGTTATAATAGCAGCACAGGTAGCGTAATTGTAGTCATGTATTAGTAGCATAATAGTATTCAATACAATGACAAAACACTTTGTATTTCTGCTTATGCTTCCTCCTCCTCCTCCTCCGCTCCAGCAGCATCAGCAATCTATGCTGCAAATTACTCTTGAATAAATTCTGCGACTGTTTCAGACGAAAGGCCTGTGTAGTTGGGACGGCAAGTGCGCTATGCAAGCTCTGGAAGGAAACAGGTCAATGTTCAATTAAAATCATTTTTGTCCAAGCCCTTTATTCTCTCTTGCTTTACGCACATACAGATACCCAAAAACCTTTATTGAAATAAATATCAAGATCAAAAGCGAATAAGATATAGCCAGTGATCGATGCAAAAAAATGGAGAATCGAAAAGAGGACAATTGTCGCCTACATAATGCATCCCTTTTGGAAGCCAAAACCGACACCCACTAGTCCCAGCTTCGGGCAGCACAGAGTAATTGCTGTTTAGGGCTATGCGCAGACAAACAGGATCTAATCGGAATGACATAAATGCTGCGCCCGACATGACAGTTTATGTTATTTTATCGACATCAGACCTGTATATGGATGTTTTTGATAGCCGACGATAATGGGCATGGAAGAGATTACATTTTGTTTATCTCAAAGTAATATAGGGCTTAGTAACAAACTGAATATTATATTACACTCCTTGGTATAGCTATTACGCATTCTGCCCAAGTCGTCCGTTTTCCAGCCATAATGAGAGCTTGACTGTTGCCATAAGCATTTGGCTCAGAGGCTAGATTTTTCTTCACCGTAGGCCTGACAGTTAGGCGAATCGCTTCTGTTGCTTTGGTAGGAGGCCTGATTGCGATCATGACTTGCGCTCTAGACTTTATCCCCAAATTGGTTCCGGTCTTGAATGGACAGTCATTTCAGCCACGCCTGTTGTTCTTAGACGCTCCCAGAGACTAATATGTCTTCAGAAAGTATGTGACAAAAGGATTGATAAGTCGATACCACCAGAAGATGAAGGGGAAATCCTCTTCGCACATTGTAGGTTGGCTTTACTTAAACACTCTTGCCGACGCTGTGCCCGAGATAATCCTCTTCGATTCTGGTGAAAAGTGTTAAGATTTTTTCCGTCATATGACGGACATCATCAGAGAAGGTTATCATTACTAGAGTCATATTCAAGCAAACGAGTATTACGAGCATATAGATCCTAACTTTATGCAGTTTAACGAGATATAAAGTGATTTGGTTGGTTCCATTCATACGCTAATCTAGAAGGATGTGTGTGCGCATGTGCAGGTTTGTGTGTTCTTCTGCGCCCTCATGTACATGTACATTTACGAAGCCATAAATGCTAGCTCATAGAGTAATTCGCCATCGTCTTTTAGTTGGATCAACCGTCAAAGTTCTCCATCATACACATCTTCATTCGGAATGGAAGTAAGCACAATAATTATAAACTAAGAGTGTCCTCAAAATCCAACTTTTCTTGACATGGAACAAACTTACGTATGGGGTTTTATCATACTAGGAGGCAACATTACTCCTTTATAGACCATACAGGAGCAAGATGATAGCGATGAGTTAGCTGGCCACAGGACCGACTATAATTATTTGGCGAAGTGGATAAAAAGCTGGTGATAAAACTCCGCCTTTTAGTGGCTCGACGAATGGAAGCATAATAAAGCAAAACTATAAGAAAATATCTGCTATAAACGAAATAATGTCTAGGTCACTTTTTGTTTATACACGTGCATATGTGCCTAGCGTCTGGTGGTGCACTTCAGGTTCCCTGCTCATGTGCAGGTGCAAATGCACGGGTTGTATGCTATGGAGGAAATGCCATCATCGGTTAAATCAGTGCAGGAAAATTGTATCAAAAAAGTAGCTTGCCCGGGTGAACGTCCTGTGGAAGGTGGCATGCATGAAAGTAGTAAATGTTGAAATTAGGAATAGTTGTTGGAATCAGCTCGACCACAACCTGGGATTCGACCCAAGCTAACAATGAACTAAAAACTGTATATACATTTAAATCAGGTCGCAAACAAATACGACGGACAATAAATAAGCATAAATAGATTTAAGAGTTGGTGAAATAGCAGCCATCTTTGGTTGTACGCACTAGGTTTGCCCTAACCTTAGCACTTTGCGAAAACGAGGATCAAGGTTTTTCCAATAGCCAACTCAAAAAAGATAATCCTCCCCACTTAGTTGGATCTTCCTCTAGTTCCGAAAGCATCAAATGACAAGACTCAACGAGGAATTTAATATGAGCATTTTTGGTCGAGCCACTTTTCCCATGTGCTACTATTCTGCTGTGCTCACCAATCCTATAGTGCCCTACTCTAATTTGAAAAGAATTGGTTATGATTTAACAAATACTCTGAGAGGGAATAAAGGCAGAAGAGTGGATATAAAGCCTGATTTTCGTATCCAAACCGGCCTTGATATATGGTGCGTGTTGGAGACTTTGGAATAGAGCTAAGTGTTTCGTGTCGTTGATACATACAGAAATTTCTTCCAAATCAGAGCTCTGACCATAAAAAAATAGACGTAGCAAGGACGAAGACTTCACCTTAGGCCAAACTACCAGATTCTGAAGGAATACTGGTGGAATACTGAAGGACAGAGACCAGATCAATGGTTCGTACTAATAATTTCAATAGTTTTCGAGACTGACAATAA